CCTGCACTGCGACCCGGGGCTCCATCCCCAAAACTGCAAAATGCAAACCAAACCAAGGAAGGCCGTGCATTTTTAATGAAGGAGCTGCATCTTAGTCCACTGGGAGCCAAGCCCTGCAAGGCAGGAGTCTATGCCTGGCCGCAGGTATTGATGAGGCATCTAAAGTACAGAAGCTCTGTTCTAACCCGGGAACACGAGGGCGTGGCTTTCAAAGGCGACACTTCCAGGGACAGCAGCTTCAGGCACAGCTGGATCCAGGCGTTCGTGTGGGCGAGACTGGGCCTGCTCTGGGTCTCTCTTTCTCCTCTGGGTGGGTTTCCGGTCTCTGAGCGAAGAGGCCTCCAGCGCCTCCTAGCTCTCCTCCTGCTCATCAGCAAACAGGGAAACAGCGCCGCCTACTGGGAAGTTCCAGCATAAGCCCCTGTGTTTCCCTTGGTCCTGTAGAGACCACCTGGTGGATTTGCAAGATCTGCAGGAGTGCTGCCCGCTGGGGCGGGAGCTGGCGGCCACATGGCTCGAGGGAAGGAGGGTGGTGTGATTTCCCCAGTGCAAACGCTGCGGTCCGAAGGGCCCAGGTGCGGGGCGGGGATCCAGCCAGGTGTCCTGACTGTCACTCCATGGGGACAGACCCTGGCGGCTGGCTGGGGTGCGAGGGCTGAGGAAGGAGATTGGCTGTGTGAGGGGCGGGGTCTCCTCTGGGCGTTGCAAATGTTCTGGAACTAGATAGGATGGCTACACAACATTGCAGGTGCATTAAATGCCACTGAACTGTTGGCTTTAATGAATGAAAACTTTTTTTTATGGTGCTAGGATTTGGTGCGTGCTAGCTAAGAACTCTACCACCGCGCTACACCCGGATTCACTTTAAAGTGTTGAATTTTATGTCAGCGAATCTTGATAAAATATAATTCCAGCACTCTGGGAGGCTGAGGCGGGAGGGTCCTGAGTTCGAGCTCAGCCTGGGCAATTTAGTGACTTACCAAGACTCTCTCTCAAAATTAAAAATGGAAAGGGCGGGGGCTGGGGATGTAGCTCAGGGTGAAAGCCCAGGGTTCAATCCCCAGTACCTAAAATAACTTGCTGCCGCACAAGGCGGTTCTGGGCGAGGTCATCAGCAGGGCTGCAGCCCGACCCGGGACGCGTCGCCCGGAGGCGGATTCCTGTGTTCACGAGCCTGGTGGAGCGAGGAGCCCTGGGAGGAGCCAGAGACATCTTGTCCAGAGGCTGCACCATTTCTTTTTCTTTTTCTTTTTTTTTGTTTTTTTTTTCCGGTACTGGGAATCGAACTTGCGACCTTGGGCTTGCCAGGCAGGCGCTGTGCCCCTGAGCTAAATCCCCAGCCCCAGCGCGGTTTCCCTCCTGGCTGTGGGCGGCGGGGACAGCGCTGTCCCCACACAGGGCCCAAGCTGCCAATGACTGGGAGGACAGAGTGCTCAGTGCCACCACCACGAGGAAGGCTGGGCTGGGAGGAGCTGGGGGCGCGGGGAGTGTGAGGCAGACGGAAGACTTGTCACACTCTGCTGCCTGAGGGCCGCCTCGGGAAGAGCAGTTGCAACCCAAACACTTCCTGCGCTGCGGGGCAAAGAAGACTTCCGGCTAAGGACTTCCGGTTGCCCGGTTAGGACTTCCGGTTGCCAGTTTAGGACTTCCGGTTGCTAGCTTATGGCTTCCGGGGACTTCTGGCTAAGGACTTCCGGTTGCCCGGTTAGGACTACCGGTTGCCAGTTTAGGACTTCCGGTTGCTAGCTTATGGCTTCCGAGGACTTCTGGTCCATGCAGGCTTTCTCTGGGCTCACCTGGTGAGGACCCTGATGAGGTGGGGTGATGCTGCCAGCTGAGCCATGCCCTCTGCTCTCTGCCTCGGGTCTGGTCCGGGCCCTGGGCCACCTGCTCCCATGCTATGGACCTCTGGGCTGGAATCTCGGCGCGATTTTGCAAGCTACTGTTGGGGAGTCAGAATAACTGCGGCTGGGACCATGCGTGGGGCCCGGTTTTCAGCCCCCAGGCCCCACAGTGGGGCACTCTCGTGGGTCTTGGGTTCCGGCAAAGGCAGAGGCATGGGTCCCAGCCTGGGGGACCAGTGCCTGCCAGCTGAGGGGCTCTGGATGGCACACATCCCTCCTGTGTGTGGCTACCCCTGCAGGGGCCCTGTTCCAAGCCAGCCAGACCCTCAGCTGTGGCCTTCTTTGGAGCGAGGTCTTTGCTGATGTGACCTCCTGGGCGTGGGGGTGCAACTTGCATCTGGTAACTGTGAAGCCAGAGGCAGGGCGGGAGGGATGCAGCCACAGGACAAGGAACAGCTGGGGCCGCTAAGGCAGGAAAGCTCCCCGCCAGCCCTGAGAGGGAGTGTGGGCCTACCAACATGACACTCTGATTTGGCACCCCGTTTGTACTAATTTGTTATGACAGCCTCGTTCTAGGAAGGAAAAACGCCCCATCAAAGGAGAAGTACCCTACAAGCATTTGACACGTAGCACACAGTAGGTGCTCAGTAGTGTACTTTTGCTGGGTGTGGCAGACACCTGTAACCCCAGCCCTGGGAGGGGCTGAGGCAGGACATCGAGGGCCACACAAAGAAGGAGCATCAAGGCAGCCCTGTAACTTTTCAGGGCACCAGGAGGGGATCCACTTTGATGCTGTCTCCCTCTCCTGCAGCGGTGGCTGAGGCCTTGGGGAGGAACCTCACAGCTCACTGCCGTGAATCATGCCAGAGGCTAGCTAATCAATGCCCGCTGACACGCCCCAGGGTGGGGGGGGACGGTGGTGACCTCATGCTGCTGGTCCAGTACTCAGGGCTCCTCCTGGCCCCGCCCAGGGCTTCTGCATCGCCTGGGAGCTGTCCCCACCCGCCCTGCCCACCCCTGGGCTCCCTCCCGGCACAGGCAGCGGGACCAGTGGACCTCGGAGCCAAGGCTTGAGTGGAGGTTTATTATTTGGATGCTTTTGGGGCGAGGCGAACAATTTCCACTTCCCCGAAGGCAGCTGAATCGTAAACCCTGGAATCCTTGCCGCACATCTGCCGCAGCTGCCTGGGGAGAGTGCGTTCCCGGGGCTGGAGTCCCATGCTCGCCTGTCTCTCTCTATAAAAGTAATGGTTTACAGATGGGGAAACTGAGGCCCAGAGGAGCTAAGGACTTGCCGCACACCTCAGAGTCAAAGAGCATCTTGGCTTGAGAGCTGGGACTGGAAGTGAGAGTTCACCTTGGCCAAGTCTGGCTCGGGTTCCTGGGCCAGCGTCCACCTCGTTTGGGCTCTGATGGGAATCTCAGCTCCTCCTGTCCTGTGTACCTTCCAGGGGCGCTGCAGTTGGGCAGCAGGGCTCTGGCCTCTAGAGACAGCTCTATATCCTCTTTTTGCTCTCCCGGGGTGGAACACAGGGCCTTTGCACGTGCTAGACAAGTGTTGTACCCCTAAGCTACACCCTCACTTCCAACAACTCAGTTTTCCTTGCCTTCAGACAACAGCTGAAGTTTGGTTCTTCTGGCTTCCCCTCTGCCCATCTGAACAGCGCCTTCCCCATGCTGTGGATTTTGGTTCTGGAGATGACTGTGAGCATAGATGCACAGGGAATCCATCAGCACTGGAACTTGGACGGTAATATCCAGCCTGACACCCAGCTGCCCGAGGGCACCTCCAGCCCTCTGCTGTCCTCTCCCCGCCAGGAGAAAGTTCCAGGGTTCACTATGGTTGAACCACCTTGGGTCACCGGCCTGAAACCTGGGGTCTGGAATGCGGGCGTGGCTGGCTGGAGCGCCCCAAGCCTCCTGCTTATTTATTTTACCATCATGACTTGAAGCCAATATTTAAACATCACCAAGGCAACAGCCCAAATCTCCCAGCCCTTGGACCCGGTCCAGCCCCACACGGTGGGGACGGGATGAGGGCTGGGGTGGGGGCAGTGACGCAAGTGAGTCACCCGTTCCCCACCCCCCACCTGGGAAAACAGAGACCCAAATGCAAACCCAGCCTGTCTTCCAAGGTGGCGGTTCTTTTCTGGCGGGACCGACCCCTTTGGACTCAAGCAGAACCGAGGGCCACGGGGTCTCTGCTAGGGTTTTACTTTTGCCGTCTTGGCTAGAGTTGTAGGTTTTCCCAACTTTTTATTGAAATTCAACATACGACTCAAGGGAAGTGGACAGAAACCAGCGAGCGCCCGGAACTCTCAGGGGTTGGATGTGTTCCGTGTGTGTGCACCAGAACACGCCCCACATCAGCACAGGGGTGGGGGCTGCACACAGCCGGCCCGCAGGAGTCCCACGCCTTCCCTCGCATCCATGGGACCCGGGGCGAGCGCTCTCCAGAGCTCTCACAGCACAGCCTGTTTTTGTGCTTTATGTAAATGGAATCGCACACTCTGCCCTACATGGGCTGCAGCCAGCGGTGTTCTTAGCTTGGTTCCTCTCCGTCCCCAGCTCAGGGAAGGGACAACAGGCAGGAGCAGAGGTCTCAAAGCCCAGGACATGCGGGGCCCAGCCTCAGCCAATAAAAGGCTTCATTTCTTGTGTACTATGGAGCTCAGGCTCCTGGGTCTGCCCTTCTCAGGTCAGGGACAGAGCCGGAGGTGAGGCAGTGTCTGCCAGGGAGTTGCTGGACCCTAGTCCCTTAGAAGCCCTTGCCTCCACTGGCAGGATGCTGGGGCTCCGGCATCCCCTTTGCTGCTAGCCACTCCTGTTTCCACGGCTCAGTGGTGCAAGGCGGGGTTGTCAGCTGCTGTGGCACAGTATGTCCCTGTGTCCCTGATGGGGCCTGGGCTCCTGCCTGCTGGCCAGCGTCTCTGCGGCCCCCCTGGGCTCTGCAGCATGTGCTGCTGCTGCGCTGATCCTCCTCTTGCCGTCCCTGGCTTGGGGACAGGGTGGCGGCTCTTGGTGCCAGGGAGTCCCATGCCATCATAGTGAAAGGCCAGCTTTTACAACCTCTAGCCCATCGCAGGCTGCTGCTCTTGTAAAAGCAAGAACAACGGCCGCTTGAGCGAATGGAACGGAAGAAACAGCAGCCGCACAAAACACAAGCCCCAGTTTTATTAGTATTAGTATTATTAGATTCAGCACTCACATATTAGTTTTCAGAAAATATAAGCAGGACAAACATGACAAGCCGGGAGTGGTATATAGGTTTTTAACTTTGCATTTTTAAATTTCTGTACCTATTTTGAGGCTGAGCCGGATGTAGTGGTGCCCGTCTGTAATCCCAGCACTTGGAGACTGAGGCGGGAGGATCCCTGTGAGTTCGAGGCCACCTTGAACTACATAGCAAGACCCTGTCTCACGAAAACCAAAAAGAAAAAAATAAAAACAAAAATTTCGAGGCTAGGGGCTGGGGATATAGCTCAGCGGCATAAGCGCCTGCCTGGCAAGCGCAAGGTCCTGAGTTCAATTCCTGGTACCGCAAAAACAAACAAACAAACAAACAAAACCCAAATAAACCCTAGCAATCACTGATCTTTAAAAAAAAAGAAAAAAAGGGCCAGGGATATAGCTTCCACCACCATCTTCGGGTCCTCCCTCACCCTCCATCTCCGAGGCCGCCCTCTGGGCCACCAGCAACCTGTGTCTCCGCTGGCCCCAGACTCATGTCACCAGGCTGTCCGTGCATGTGGCAGCCGGAACATCGGAAGGGGACAGTGGCGAGGGTGGAGTGTGACTTCTGCATGAGCTGCGGTGAGTCCGGGCTTCTTCAGGAACACACAAGCTCGGTGAGGACGACGGAACCTGGAGTGGAGCTGGGATTTCCGCGCTGTCGCCGTCACCGCGACCGTGCTAGGCGTGACACGAGCCTCACTTTCTCTGTCCTCTCCTCCTCCTCTTCTTGATAAGCCTGACTGCATAATTCCTCTAAAGCAAACCATCTGTCTGCCAGCGTTTACAGGCAGTCATAAAGATAGCGAGGACCCAGGGCTTTGCGTGGGGGCGCCACTCGCCTGCTGTCCCCGCAGCAGGGAAGGTGGGGACCCGGAGTGGCCGCCCCCGCGGGTCCGGTCCGACCCGAGCTTGCGTTCAGGGCAGGGCTCTCTGGGAGGCAGGGGGGGCCCCCTTTCCCACAGCTGTGGGGGGACCCTTGGGTCACCTGCCTGTGGCCGGCTGCCTGCTGGACGGGCTGGAGAGGAGGAGCCGGGAAAGGAGGTGCCAGGCGAACGTTCCCAGGGAGTGTTCCCAGCCGCAAGTCCAGGCGAGCCCAGGAAAACAACCGACAACAATGCGAGCGCCTAGGTGACGGGGAAAAAAATCCGAGGCGTCTGTTTGGGAACAGATTGCAGCCTCCCCTTCCAAGGCCTTAGTAATCCAAGCAGCAGTGAGTGTAATATTTACTCGGGAACTATGAAAGGCCGCGTAACAATGTTCTCCTCACAGCTTTCATCATCGGCTTGCTGGGTTCCGAGTGCGTCTGCCACCTAATCATCACCAGCACACTCTCGGCCATCTGGCGGCGGTGCTTGCTGGCGGCTGCCGTGACGCCTTTCCCGGGCCGGGCCGGGTGTCAGCGCCGGGCCTGCAAAGCCGCTGCGGAGAGGATGGCTTGCGCTGGTGCTAGAAAGAAATCGGAGATAGTGTTGCTGGCAAGTCCAATGTCTGGCCCAGACCGCAGGCCAGAGAGAAGATGGAAACGGTGTTTCATAAAACCTTGCTTTGATTTTATATTTTATTATATTTTGTTTTGTTTTGGCCCAGGTTGGCCTCGAGCTCTCAGCAATCCTCCTGCCTCAGCCTCTCGAGCGCTGGGATTACAAGTGTACACCACTACACCCGGTAATTTTGTTCTATTACATTTTAAAAATTTTATTAGCATTTTATTTTTTGGAGAAGAGCAGGACAGCAAATGAGAGGTCATGTGCTCAACCATCCTGGTTAGAGTGGGGCCGAGAGGGTTCCCAGGGTGTGGGGCTTGGTCGCGCTAAGATTCAGGCAAACTGGAGTGAGGTAACCTTTCTGTGCATGGAGTGGGACGGATCCCAGGACTCACACTCAGCATTCACAGTGTGTCCCCAGGAAATCAGGCACCTCACAGGGGTTTATCTATTGCAGGATCAGCTGGGTATGGTGGTGCACGCCTGTAAGCCCATCACCCGGGAGGCTGAGGCAGGAAGATCATTGGGAGTCTGGGCTACATAGTGAGTTCAAAGCCATCTTGGGCTACATAAAAAAAAACACCCAAACCAATCAAATCTATTTCAAGGACAGCCAACGGACAGGGTCCAGTGTGGGTGGCAGATACCAGGGGACTCAGAGAAAACGCTGCTGCCCCTTTCTAGTGTGCTGTGGCCAGGTGGAAGGCAGACAGTGCCAGTCAGCTGATTCTTAAAGGGATTTCCTATGGCCACGTCGGCCCCGGGGCAACCAGCTGGCGGCCTCTGGGTAGCACCGTTTTAGTTCTATAGCTACATGACTGTGGAAGCCCCAGGTGACCAGAAATTCATCCTGGGCTGCCCTTTGAGGCAGAATAAGCAAATCTGTTTGAAATGCTGACTTCAGAGCTGCATTCTGAAAAGGAGTTTGTGCAGAGCTCCCAGGCCGCTCATCGGTTCATTTGCTCTGAGGGTGTAGACTCAATATTGCTGAGATGTCTGTCACAACCTGGACGAGCCCTGAACACATTTTGCTCAGTGAAAGAAGCCAGACACAAGAGGGAACGGGTTGGATGATTCTGTTTATGTGAAATGTCCAGAGTGGGCAAATTCAAGACACAGAGCAGACCAGTGGTTGCCACGGAGACAGGGAGGAGAGACAGGAGGAACTGCAGAGGGCATGGGCTTACTTTGTGGTGTGATGAGTTATCCTGGAAAAAGATAGTGGTCATGGTTCACAGCCTGGCAAGTGTGCTAACTCTCACTGCACGCACACTGCAGAGTGGTGAATTTTGAGCCAGGCGTGGTGGCACAAGCCTGTAATCCCAGCACTTGGGAGGCTGAGGCAGGAGGATACCAAGAGTTTGAGGCCAGTTTGGACTACATAGTGAGATCCTGTCTCAAACAAACAAATAAACATAAAGTGGTGAATTTTGTGGTATGCAAATTATATCTCAATTGAAAATACAGTGATACCTTGGTTCACAAATGCTTGTATTTGCAAACAATTTCGTTTGCAAACAGAAGCATTTGGCAAAATTTTGCTTTTGTTTGCGAACTCTGCTTTGGGTGATGAACACAGCTGTGGCCATCTTTTCCAGAATCATGGAATGAGTTAAGTTTGTGGACTGAGGCACCACTGCATACTGTTATGATGTCAGTTCCTCCCGAACTGACCTAAGATGACACAATCCTAATCAAATTCCAATGAGCCTACTTTGGCGGTAGAAATTGACATTCTAAAATTCAAATGACATTGTGAAGGACATTGTGTAGCCAAAGTGACTTTGAAAAAGGAGAGTCTCACACCTCCAATTCCCCCCACCCCTGTGCTGGGACTCAAACTCAGGGCCTTGCATGTGCTCTACCACTGAGCTACACCTCCCAGCCCCAAGTGCTTATTTTTAATTAATTAACTTTTGAGACAGGGTCTTACTCTGTAGCTCAGGCTGGCCTCAAACTCATTATGTGGCCCAGGCTGGTCTCAAGCTTTCCGTGAACCTCCTGCCTCAGCCTCCCGAGTGCTGGGATTACAGATGTGCATCACCACGCCTGACATAAGTTTTTCATTTTGATCATTGCTTAGGCTAACAGTATGTGGTACAATCCTCTCTGAAGTCGTCGGGCAGGGCCATGAACAGCTGTGTGACTGTGACATCCCGTAGTGTGCTGTTGGGTAGGGTGGCTGTATTGATGCCTTCTGGACCTGTGATATTTTTTATTTATGAGGGGCTTACTGGGACATAACTCCATTGTCAGTTGAGGAGCACTTGTATCCATCTGCAAAAAATGAGCCTTGATCCACAACTTTTACTGTATGAAAATATTAACCCCAAATAGATCTACAGGTAAAACTTAAAAGTAGAAAACTTTCGGAAGAAAACACAGGCAAAGCCCTCATAAGCTCGAGTTAGGCAAAGACTTTTTCAGCCAGGCCAGTGGAACTTGGGCAAGCGGGCTACTGCTGAGCTGTACCTCCAGCCCAGTTTTTTGCTTTTGTTTGAAAGATGCTGTTGAGAAACTGAGAGAAGCTACAGATTCATGGAAACTATTTACAGGTCATATATTTAATAAAGGGCTTATATTCAAAACATATAAGGAACCTTGAAAGTTAATAAAATCCAGGAGTAGTGGTGCATACTTGTTATCCCAGCACTTGAGAAGCTGAGGCAGGAGGATCTCCGAAAGTTTGAGGCCAGTCTGAGTTACCTAGTGAGGTCAAGGCCAGCCTAAAATACGCAGTAAGACCCCGTCAAAACAAAGAAATGTTCAAATAAACTTTAATAAAAAAACATTTATCTCATTTAAAAATGGGCAACTTTTGGTTTGTTTATCTTTTTGAGACCGGGTCTCACTATGCAGTACAGGCTGGGCTTGAACCCAGGCTGGTCTTGAACTCACAACAATCCTTCTACCTCAGCCTCCCAAGTACTGTGATTACAGGGGTGCATCATTATTTTGTTTTTGAGACAGGGTCTTACTATGTAGTGCAGCTGGCCTTGAACTCACTATGTAGCCCAGGCTGGCCTCAAACATACATCTATGCTCCTGCCTCAGCCTCCCAAGTGCTGGGATGACAGGAATGTGCCACTATACCTGCTGGGCAAATATTTTAACAAACAAATACTTCTTATGTTTAAGAAGCTTCTGTTTTGCTCATTGAGTGCCTAATAAATGTATTAAAAATGCTGAAACCGGGGGCTGGGGATATAGCTCAGTGGCATAAGCGCCTGCCTGCCAAGAACAAGGTCCTGAGTTTGATCCTTGATACCGAAAAAAAAAAATAAAGAAAGAAATAAAAATAAAAATGCTGAAATCAGTAGCATTAGTGAAATGCAAATTAAACCACAGAGAGATACTGTTACACACCCGGTGGAATGGCTGCATTAAAAGAGTAACTATACCAAGTGTTGGTGAAGATGTGGGGGAACTGTGGTGGGACTATAGCATAGTGCAATCAGTTTGGAGAACTGTTTAAGCTTTTTATTTTTTTTAAAGTTAAACATGCACCTGCCGAATGATCCAGGCATTCTACCTCTACATATGCAAGAACAAGGAAATGGGGTAGGGAGCAGGACAGGGTCTTGCTATGTAGTTCAGGCTGGCCTTGAACTCATGGCGAGCCTCCTGCCTCAGCCTCCTAAGTGCTGGGATTACAGGCGTGTGCCACCACGCCTGGCTTTTACTAGCATCATTTGTAATAAGCAGACCTCAGAAGCAGACTGGGAGTCCCCCAGCAGGTGACGAATAAACGACCAGTGTGTCACTTCACGAACCACAGAATGAAATGAGCTAATAATTCCCAACAGCCCAGGTGACTGTCAAAGTAACCGTGATGCATGCAAGAAATCAGACAAAAACCATAGACTGCACTAATTTGCTAATGCTGCCCTAGCCAAGGGCCCAGACGAGGGGCCCTAACCACCAGGCAGGTCTCTTCTCGGTCTTCTCTTGGCTGGAAGTCCAAGGTCAAGGTTGGTGCACGTCTGGTTTCTTCTGAGGCCTCTTGCTCGAGCTTGTAAGTGCCTTGTGGTCTTCCTGTGTGCGTCTGTGTCCCAACCCCCTCTTCCTATGAGGACATCAATCATTGGACGAGGCCCTACCCGCATCGTAGCCTCATTTTAACGGAGTTACCTCTGCGGCTACTTTGTCTCCAAATGTAGCCAGGCTCTGGGGTCCTGGGGCTTGGGACTTGGAAGAATAAGCTCTGAAATCTGGCAGCTCGAGGTCAGAGCATAAATGCAGCCTAGATCGGCTTGGGATAGAATCTCGTGAATTTCTTTCTTTGGGTCCCCACGGGGCTTGGGGAGCTCACTCGCTTGGGGACCTCTACACCCTGTGCAGGGCGCGGCAGTGGCGTCCTTCTCCTCTGGGGTGAGCAAGGGCTCCATGCCCCGTTCCCTCGGAAGCTGTGGCCAATCCCACCGAGGGATTTCAGGGTGCCTGGAAGGAACCAGCACAACACACAGGATGAGGATCCCTCCCAGGTCCCCAGTGGCTCCTAGGTTGAGCCCTAGTGTCCCTTTCCAATATCTGCAGTGACAGGTATCACTGGTGGGGATCAAATCCCCCAGCGCTGGATGGGATCCGAGTCGGGCACCTGGACACGTAGGGGCATTGGTGAGGGGCAGGGACGATGGGTGTGAGTGTGTAACGTGTGCGTGTAGGTGTCTAAATCACAGGCGTGTGAATGTTGGGGGCCCTTTGCCCTGCTGCCACGTGCAGGGTGGAGCCTGAGCCCATGACCCCAGAGCTGTGCCCTGGAACCCTGAACCCCTGAACTCCTGAACCCCTGAACCAGTCACATCCTTGGCCTTGACCCTCGCCCCAATCCCAGCCCTGTGTCTGCGTTGACCCCAAGGCTCTCACAGGTGACCAGCGTCACTGCACCCCTCCGCCCAGCTGTGCTCCTACCGGACAAGCGCCTGACCACAGCGAGCTCCCCAACAGGCGACAGGAAGGCGGCATGGGCCTCACGGGCCAGATTCTCAGCGTGCCGCAGCCCTAGGCCCCTCTTGGGACCTCAGACGCAGTTCTCGATGGTCTGCGGCGGTCTCCGAGGCTCAGCGGGTA